TTCCTCTGCTTTTTTTTCTCAGATTGTTCTTAGCTTCATATTCCTTCCGAGCCATCTTTTTACCCATTGCTTATAAGATGTCTCCATAGTTTTCATTTTCATTTTTTTTGAGGTCTAATTTTTTTTCATTTTATTATCTATTCTTTTGTTCTTTTTGAATTTTTCATTTAGCATTATCCATGTCTTCAGCTCATTCTTTCTGCGGCAGGCTCTACACAATGCTTATACAGAATCCCCAATACTTTTAATCTCCTCACGCTTAGCTGAAATGTACTATTGTTTGAATTTGTCTTTCCTGGCTTGTATATAACTAGCAAATTAGCCTCGATTGCGGAGGAAATGAAAAGATATATGAATGCATTACTGTCATTATGCGAAATATGATGTAATTGGATTCGAATTACGAAATTTTCAAGGAGAGAGTCAGTCATCTACTCTGGTCATCCAGAAGGCAACCTTAATCCATTCGATGACATTTAAATCGTGTTGAGAGGCATGAACGCCAAACTGGGACCAGACAACACAGGAAGAGATCTCATTAGACCTAATTAATCTATGGGAGAGATGAATGTAAATGGAGATTTCTTCGTTGACTTTTGCGCCTTCAGTGAGTTAGTGAGTGGTGGCTGCGTACAAAAATACAAAGATATCCACGAAGCTTCATAAAAGTCACCAGACGGATGAACCAGAAAGCAATCTGACTTCATCTCAATGTTCGCTCAAGAAAGTCGAGATGCAGCTTACTGGACACAAACGTGAGAAGAGAAGCAGACTTCCACTCAGACCAATATCTCTTTCGAGGAACACTTCAAGTCAAATTGAAAGCCTTCAAGGAAAACAGGAGATGCAGATAGATCACAAGCCAAGTCCAATAATCGAAACATGAAGGATCAGGCTGCAAAGGACATATTCACTGAAAACATGAGGAAAAATGCGGAGACATTAATTAACACTGTTGAAGTGACCGGCGTTGAAAAGCACTGGAACAGCCTGCAAGAGCTGAAGAGTAATACCTGCATGGAAGTTCTAGGCAGAAAGAGGAGACAGGACAAACAGTGGCCCTCTACGGACACATGGAGACCAATGGAAGGAAGAAGGATGTTGAGATGAAGGATTATTCGGTGCATCAACGAGCAACAAAACAGAAATTGAATGCAGGCTACAATACTTCAACAAAAGAGTAAAGAAGAGTGCCAGGGAAAACAAGAGAAATTAGTATGAAGCTTTGGGAAGTAATGCAGAACTAGCTGCAATGAAGGCAAAGGAGACCTCACAACACTCTTCCGAATAATCAGGTTCCTATCGAGGAGAATCACGACACAAATTAGGCCAGTGAAGGATGACAATGGAAAGTCAATCATCAAAGAGGTGGAGCAAAGGAAAGAGTGGGACGAACACTTGAAAAGACTTCCTAATCGGCCGGCACTTACAACACGCCCAATAATACCGACAGCGGTAGCAGAACTACCAGAGGACATACTTCTTTCGTTGAGAACATAACTCCTACTCAAAACTCGAAGTCACACTATCCTGAATAGAATCAAACACATCAACCTAGATGAAAAACTTTGACCGAGACAGGCTGGATCAGGAGGCGGAAGTCATGCATCGACCAAAACACAAGACTACGGATCATCGTCGAACAGAGCCTGGAATAGCGATCACCTCTCTGTCTCACTGAACTTAATTTTCTTTGAAAAGACCTTCAGCATATAGCGTCGATTGAGAGGTGATTCGGCAAATAATTCGCTACTACCAAGAAGTGCCGCCAACAAATATACATCTCATCCAACAGTTGAACGACAATGCTGCATGCCAAGTAGTCAACAAAGTGAAACTCATGGAATCCTTCGAGGTGTGGACAGTAGTAAGACAATGCTGGCTGTCTGCCTACTATCTGCAATAATTTTCCTGATTGCGTGCGTTAGACCGGATAATGCGACGGTCGTAAAACGGACCACACAAAAACAACTTGGATGATCTAGACTTCGCTGAATATATATGTCTGATTTCGCACAAACTGGAAGATATGCAAGTGAAAAGTAAAAAGTTGTCAGAAGAAGCATCTGAGACAGGACTTCATGTGAACACAGAGAAGACAGGCGTTGGTGATGAAGATTCCTGGTCAACTGCAACAACAACAGACAAAAAACAGCATAAATGGAAGGAATCTGAAAGTAGCGACCTCCTTCACCTACCCAACCTACCTGGGAAGCAAAGTTTCAACAATATGCGGATGGAACTGATGAGGATATCAAAGTTCGAGGATCAGAAATCAAGGCTAGCTCCCATCACTCTCAAGTCTATGTGGAAGTCAACAGCCATTCTTAGCATGTAAATGAAAAAAAGCGTGAAATTTCAACAAATGAACCAGCCCAAAAGTAACCGATTGTGCAACAAATATGAAGGAAGAAATGGAGGTGGACTGCCCACGCTTTAACAAAACAAACTGTCAGCCCTTTGCTCCTCTAGGAATTGAAGGAAACTGTAATAATAATGCAATGAGCTAAGTCTGCGTTCAGATTGATGAAGAGGAACGGAAGTCTCGGAATAGGCGTTGCACCTTCACTCGCTCAAAATACACACCACTGTTACTGCCATTTCGAAAATCCAGCTGAGATCCCTATGTTCAGGTAGGAAAGTGAAGGAATAAAATAAGACATAAAGAAAAAGAAGAAGAGCAGTTCGATTCAGATTTGTCATAGCTGGTGGCATGTCGACTGTGTGGCATCACCTATGGATTTTTGGTGCTCACAATAGCCGCCTGCTTCACGACACTCGAGATTCTTCTTCAAAAATCTACTGCATGAAAACTGGACAACAAGACAGCGAGAAATACATTATCAGTCTCTCGTCTGCATTACAAAAGCAATGTATGGGAGAGATATTGACACTCACCTGTCGAAATGGAAGCATCTTTACCAACATCACTGTTGATCTGTTCTAAAAAGACGACAAAATTCAAGTTGACAACGGTGATTCAGCTATATTTTCAGGAGCATGAAGTGTGTTGCCTCAGAATCATGCCAGTCACTATACTGTCAGTAATTTAGATATCTAAGCTTTTAGCTTAGAGTAAGATTTGCCAGCATTTTCATATTCTTATCCTTATTCTTCTGTCACCTTACATATTTTCTATCTTACCCGTTCCGTGTGTGGAATTGGTTCTGCTGTACATTTGACTCTGACTTTCATACCTATTTGTCTACTAATCTTTGCTCCTCCGGAGTGATGTATCTAAGAAATATGCCTTCGCTTACAGGATCTCATCGTCTCAACTGACTTCGGTCTGAGTACCACTGAAAAGCGACAGGGAGTACCGAAAATCAGTTTGTTGCATCCTTGTTGTTTATGACTGATCTGCAGTATGCCCTAACCACCAGTAATCGAATCGGAGGCCAATCGGTTCCGAGACGGTCTTGTAGACCATCAGAACACTGCGTTGCCTTCCGGTGGCCCATTAATTTCAACTCGATGATGAAATCCTGTAACCGATCAAATCCCTGCAAACCAACAATTCACATTTTCATTTCCTTTCATCGCGTTAGAATTCATATTCAAGTATTGATTATTGATACATGTGTAAATCTTGGGCACTGTGATAGTAAGTAATTCCATATTAGTTTGTTTATTGGATGTATCATACAGTGAAACAGTATTATTTACTGGATGACGTTACGATTACACTGCTGCCTTCAATGACTCCTATAATTACTGTGAATATTTTAGATAATACTCTCTCTCTCTCTCTCTCTATATATATATATATGATTATTACGTGTAGGTAGCTTACCCAACTTTGGTAGGGAGAATCTGTTTCCATGTGAGATAGTGAAGATCAATCGATTTTCGGCTTGATTTCTCAGAGAATACTTCTTCTCATCACCCTGTACGATGATCATTTCAAGTGGTTGATCGTCTTGTCCACTGAAGATAACTGTGACGTCATCTGCACTACAGAAGGCCGATTCTTGTTCCCATATCAGATTTCTGATATCTTCTGACTGAAGTTGGATGTTCTTGATCCTCGGAACTGGTGAAACAATTAACGAGAAACGAAATTGACGATTTAGTATTTCGACCAATAAATTCCTACATATTATGGTAAATTGACAGTTGGCATTGGAGGTAATAACGACATTTCAGGGGTCATCTTATTCTTTTCGAAGTGGTTCCTTTCGACTTATTCACCCCTCTAAGCACACTAGACATAAGCGTGTAAGGTAGGACTTCACTGGCTGTTTATTTAAATTACAAGTCCTTTCAAGTAGATAGCTAGTCAGACAGCCAGGAATCAGCCGTTCTCAACTTCGTCTAGTGCTTGAGGTGAGTCAAACCAAACACACAGGCGATTAGTTCGAACTCAAATGCGTGAATCGACCGTCTGCTGTTTGGATCACTTCGATTTTGCTGACTATCAAACATTACTGGTGGTGTGAGTGGTGTAATGTAGTATAAACTGAGCATACTGACAAAGAAGTATTATATAGCTGAAAGCATCTCTTTCTGTATGAAGCAGTCATTCTGTTTCATTGATGTCAACTAGGAAGAAGGATAAATCAGGAACGATCACATGGCAAGCAGGTGGTCGAGCTGAACCCGAGTGAGACACTTCAGCACTCTTCAACACTGACGACTACATCCAAGTTTGGAATCAGCTATCTCAGTGTTTCAGTAGAATTTGACAGTGTCATAAGATTTGGCACAGTGCACGACAGAGTGTTTTAGTAGATTCCAAATACTTTTTGGTAAATGGTGCACTGTCGAAGGCGCTTCCGAAGTCTAGGATTTTTTTTAATTCAGGCAGGTTTCCGACTTGCATTCTATGATTCGTTCAAAATGACGCAAATCTGCTTTCCATGAAACATTCTAGATGATTAGAAAAATCGAATAACAGATATTCAACGAAATGTGTTCAGTGTCTGTGTGTGTGTGTGCAGTTGATAGGAGGTAACAGTGACTTACTCTATGCTGCTCCGCATTCATCTCTCTGGACTTACCTCTTTTATAGTAAAGTTGATATATTTCTGGACGCCCAAAGTGTAAAGGCCCTCTGATACCATAAAAGAAATTTTCGCATCCTTTTGAATAAAGACGCGCTGTTATTGAGGTTTCATTATCATCAAAATCGAAGACATTGCCATTAAAAAGATCTGTGTCAGCCATATGATCTGGTTTGATATAAGAAGGACTAAGTGTAATCCAAGAAAAACTTAAATATTCGTCGCTTTCTTGAAGTAGCCAAAATTTGCTTCCATCTGTATTTTGTAAATTAAAATAGACAAAATAATAATGAAAATATTCATGATGATGTGTGAGTATAAATTTGAAGTGAAGTTAGTGAAGTGATGAGAAGAGTGGACACTGCAGGTTTTATGATGAGTTGATATCAGTTGGACAGGCATTGGAAAGCAATAGGGATAACTGCACAGCCAGTTGTTTCATCCGCGTTCTTGTTTCGAAGACTTCAGCACTGCGCACGTGTCACCAGGTTTCGAGTCATCTACATTTCTTGGCGCAAGCCTAGACCATTCAGTCACTGGAATTACATCGAAGGTGTTTAAGACGCCAGCTGCTCGCTGGATACACTGGCATGCCAAAATAGCCCAAACGACGAAGACGAAGCGGCTGGCTGTCCAACACCCATCGCTACCTTCCAGTGATTCTCCAATTAATATCTATTCCCCATCTAACCTGTAACCAACAGAGTCACTGGCATCAAACAATTTAAAAATAAAAACTATGTGAAGAGTGCTTCAAAATCTACAACTGTATGACAACCATCACTGTGTTGGTATGCGATTCCACATAATTTATGTTTGTTGGACACATGCACACACACACACTAACACATACAGTGAGGCAGTATTACTTACTGAATGACAGAGTTTACAACACACTCTGTTACTGGATATGATCATGTAAATTAGGACTACACAGATTCGTTTATTTCATTCTCTAGTTCGCTTCGATCCTTTGGAAATCTCACATGGAGTCCTCAACAAGGCAGTAATTAAAGTGTCACTGCACAAACCCAACCTCCCACGGTCACATACCAATAGGCTCACCTAGAAACAAATTATGTTGGTCGCAGCGGCATAGAAGGGTCACACTAAACAGAGAGTAATTCAGTTCACCTGGTGGCTAGAATGATTTCCAGGTCAAATTTGTAGGTCGAATTAGTGGAACGAGGTCGACCAGACTAGCGGAGCACGAAAGCTTGACAAAATCTAGATTGGTTGATGCTGATAAGAAGGGTAATCAAGAGAATAGCTCAGCTATGACAAACACCACATTCAATTTTACACAGTTATACAGTGCAGGACGGCATAAGATAACAGTCAAAAAATCCAAAATAGCAGGGTTATGAGCGACATTCATAGCTGCAGCTTTATTTGTCGAATCAACTGGAAATGCGTGCAACAGAAATGAATGATTCAACACCAGTTCCACTCGGACATCGGGAAAATCCTACTTATACGAACACACCACTCTGTGGCTAGTCGGATCCTGAAAACCTAATAAAATGGAACTTTCCATAAAATACAACTATTCAACAGAATCATGCGATCAATCAATTAGTTCATTAACTCAATATCTAGAAAACATGCACAAACACATTCAAGTAGATGACAATGAAATCGTGGCATTCACTATTCTCACAGCATCATACGCTTCAACTGGTCGGAAAATGTCAACACTTAAAGCTATGCAGCGATTCCTCCATAGCGATGAATGCACAAAATGGCAATCTTCAAATTCAATGGAACTCGTCGACTTATGTTTTTAACATATTTGCAATTCAACAACGAGATATACGAAGAGATATAGAGAAAATCAATGGGATCGCACACATCAGGACTAATAGACGAGGTCGTTATGCAAAGACTAGAATTTGATAGCTCAACCCATAATCACAATAAGCATCTCGCCACCTTATTTTGATGACACATTCGTGATAATAGGTACACCCACACATTAATCAACATCACATTGGTAGACGTCGAAATTCACACCCAAGAGAAGGAGAATCAGACAACGAAATCCCTTCGTCCTTCGATGTCTTAATCTAGAGAACAAATACCGAAAATTCGGAAACACACATATGCAGAATAACAACACACCCACACAAAGACGCACACACTCACGCATGCACGCGAGCACACAAAGAACAAATTAGGAAATACAGTAGTGATGATCCAACGACTCACAAGATAAGCTGTATGCAGTCCTTGTTTGTAAGAGTTAGAACATACTGCAGCACTCCGGTGCTGACAGAACAAAAGAGACTGTCTTCAAGGATAATGAATACTCGTGCTACTTCCTCGAGACATGTCTAGACTCAAATCAAAATTCCAACAAGAAACCATCCTCAACCATCACAAGGAAATTCATACCAATTCAGATTAAAATTTCTCTGAAATTGCGGCTAGATTACTGGAACCATTTGAAATAGATGGAACACACAATGGAAGTCAATCCTATTCATGCAGTACTGTGCAGATGAAAAGACCAGCACAACAGTAGAAGAAGACAACACCGCCAACAACACACCATCCAAAAGGGGATTATACAAACTGTGATAAACACGATATTGACCGAAGTGGGCATCCTTCTCGACGCACAACCCAAGAACAAAACTTGCCTGTCAAGAGACAGGATATGCAATCTTTCATATCGGTGCATGTCGACAATTATGTTAACCAGTTGAACTCTGAATATCCAGAACCCTTAGAGAGTGGAAACACTGAAGAAATGTCATGGAATGTACACAGGTAGTGTGTTGAGACAAATCTGCAATTGAAAGACACGTGATTACTGCAAATCAAATTTATCAATCAATAAAGACGAAGGAAACAAATTTACGAAAACAATGAGTACGGAGGCGAATCAACAATCAATCACGACCTAAGTCACCTTGAGAAACAGTTATATTATCATTCATGGAGAATTGAAATAAGTTCACATTTCATAGAATGGCTTTCACTGAGGCGATGTTGTTGTCTAGAAGACACACAACGAAAGCTTTGCAGTTAAATCAACAAACCGACTCAAGGAATACAACCAAATCAGAGAGGCTGGCAGTGTAGTTTCACTGAGTCAGGATTAATAAATCACACCAACAATAATGCATTGTCTGTCGACATCGATTTGCTTTGAGAAACTTGTATAGTCCATAGGAATCCGCTACTCGGTGTACAGTGGGAATGCGAAGCTGTACTATCACACCTATATACGGACTCTTTTCAAAAAACGAAGAGGACAGTAGAAATACGTAATAGGTTAACATAATCATAGATGTCAACCAGTGTATAAGAGGAATTGAATCAGTGTATTGGAGTAATGTAATAACATGAACAATTTAATGAGTGACTTTGAATCAGGCGGCATATAGAAACGAAGAAAATCATGTGAGAATCCTAAAGAAATACAAGTGTTGTAAGGAGTCAAGGAAAGAAAATAGCCACTATCAAGTTGGTGGAGGACAGAAACAAAGTTGTTACCATGACAATGGAAGTAGTTGAATAAATTTCTTTTCTATGCAAAGACATGGTTTCTCTAATTGAAGGGCTGAAGCATGGCCAGTGAGACAGGGACGAGAAAGTACTGTCTTTGGCAGGTTATTCTTCACTTGGTAGGTAGATTACTCTGAAGGAGACGGTTGTTTAGACGGAATGACAAATGTTGACAAGGTGTTCTATTATCTCACTCGTTACAGAGTCACTGCTATTTCCATGAAATAATGCCATGGGAGAGTCTCCTTTGACATTTCCACCTTAGACGAGATAAGCGTGAAATGACCAATTTACCTGTCTCCACAGCAACAACCGAAATCATTTATACACACGGAAGTGTTCAGATGTGAGATTTCCTCTTTCAGGCTTCTACACGCGTTGCTCAGATGACTCTTGGCAGAAATGATGAAATTCTCCTCCGAAGGATATCTCACGTTGTCTCCTTTGAAATTAAGGTTCAAGAAGATTATGGTTCGTCTTTGACATTGTTCTGATATTCTTGTCAATCGATATTGGTGAGTGTCCATTTTGGATGGAGACATCTTTCAGAAGATCTAGTTGTGCTTATCGCGCATCACGACTACAGATGCTTTGAATTCCAGTGGCGAGGGATTGAACTCGATTTCTTATTCGTTCAACAGGCAACCAACTATAGAATCTCGCCATTTAGAACAGATTCAGACTTTTGACAACACCTGCTTTCATTGGCTTCATCGTGAAGATCAGATGACCTGCTGAGGAGGATTAGCCATGGTCTAACGCGTACAGGCCGTAAGTCAACTAACAACCTATTACCTGAGAAATATGCTGAAGAAAATGTAGATAGATTGGCCACACTCTGAGGGAAAGTTCATCTACAGTTGCGCTTCACTTTGATGGTGACTTAATACGACCGCAGATAACAGGATGGAACAGGATGAGGTGTGCCATAAAAACCCTATGTTCCACTCGGAAACTAAGAGAATGATAACAATAAAATTATCAATAATAATAATGATCCCCCATTAACAGTCAGTAGGACAAAGTTAGGACAAAAGTCGAATTGTGAGAAACGAAGAGAGAGTTTCGCAGAGTTTGCAGTAATTTACCCAGATGCCGGTTGACTTTTGTGAAAACATTCAGTGAACAGTCGGTACTAACACGAATGTGGGACAAATGAACTGCAGGATTGAACGAGTGTCTCACCCTTGCAGCCCGACCAAATCAGTATGAGTGTTTGAAGATTCCCTAAGGCAACCAACGTCACCAGGAGAGACAACTAATAAACTCGTGGAGAACTGTAAATGCTCATTTCACAAACTGATCTGTGCAATGATGGTGCTGCTGCCTAGCAGGGCGACGAAGGCTTCAGAAGCAAACCATCCAGCTCTGAGAACAGAACTACATCAAAACAAATGAATTTTATAGAAATATTATCATTTCAGGATAAAATATGAGTGGCTTAGCTACAGAATTCTCGCTATCCACGCAAGTGGTCTGCGTTCAGAACCGCATCTGACGGACTACAAAAACTCGCTACGTCAGCTGTACGGCTCGTAGAGAGAGAAGGTAAGACGTGAGACTAGCAAATCAATTTGGTCAAAATGAAACCACTGCAACGAACACTTCAAAAGATCAAACCTGATGCCCAACATTACGCGCGGAATGTGAAGAAATAAACCTACCATCAAAACATTTTAAAGGCTCCTGTTTCATAATTTCCGAATGCTTCTAACGAATCTCGCTATTGTACTTATATGCGTTTGAGTGACCTGATGGCTATTTGGTGGTCACTATCAAAACTAATAGATGGTATTCTTTCACTTGATATCACAGATTTGTCTCAATACTGGAAAAAAACCTTTCATTGAATTAATTATTCTGCTATTCAGTATCTTCACGAGTCAATTGTGTTGACTTTACACCATCGGAGACAAACAGAATAAGACGCTCGTCTGATGGATGATGGTCAGCAGCGGAATCTGAATTGTGCATGCATGAATCACAGGGATCAGTTGTTGCACATCAAAACGCGAAATGAAAAATTTAACTTCAATAAAAGCATTTAACCAAAATGAATATTTGGAAAAAGCAAAACAATAAAATATTCATATACCACGAACAACTTACAGCTATCATTATTTTTAACTAAATATGCCAGTTCATATTCTTCAGAGATTCGTTGTGGCAAGACTGTTACTACAAAGATTAAGAATGGCAATTAGGACAGATGCATTGCGAGTGCGTGCAGATATCCATCACAAAGCGTTTCGCTTATAGTAAGATTTGTCCTTATACATCTCTTATAATTCGTGTTTTCTGTTTTACCCGTTCCGTATGTGGAATTCGATCTGCTGTACATTTGACCCTCGATTGTATACCCATATCTCTTCGAATCTTTGTTCCTCTAGACGAGTGTTTCTAAGAAATTCGCCTTCGCTTACAGGATCTCATCGTCTCAACTGACTTCGGTCTGAGTACCACTGAAAGGCGACAGGGAGTACCGAACATCAGTTTGTTGCATCCTTGTTGTTTATGACTGATCTGCAGTATGCCCTAACCACCAATAATCGAATCGGAGGCCAATCGGTTACGAGACGGTCTTGTAGACCATCAGGACACTGCGTCGCCTTCCAGCGGCCCATGAATTCCAACTCGACGATGAAATCCTGTAACCGATCAAATCCCTGCAAACCAACAATTCACATTTTCATTTCCTTTCATCGCGTTAGAATTCATATTCAAGTATTGATTATTGATATATGTGTAAATCTTGGGCACTGTGATAGTAAGTAATTCCGTATTAGTTTGTTTATTGGATGTATCATACAGTGAAACAGTATTATTTACTGGATGACGTTACGATTACACTGCTGCCTTCAATGACTCCTATAATTACTGTGAATATTTTAGATAATACTCTCTCTCTCTATATATATATATATATATATATATGATTATTACGTGTAGGTAGCTTACCCAACTTTGGTAGGGAGAATCTGTTTCCATGTGAGATAGTGAAGATCAATCGATTTTCGGCTTGATTTCTCAGAGAATACTTCTTCTCATCACCCTGTACGATGATCATTTCAAGTGGTTGATCGTCTTGTCCACTGAAGATAACTGTGACGTCATCTGCACTACAGAAGGCAGATTCTTGTTCCCATGTTACATTTTGAAGATTTCTAGACGGTAGCTGGACGAAATGGATCCTCGGAACTCGTGAAACAATTGAAGAACAATGAAACTGAGGTTTTTGTTTTTTGGCTAATAAATTCTTACATAATATGATGACATGACAGTTGGCAAAAGAAGTAACAATGTGAATTCAGGGGTCTCCTTATTGCTTTTTCAATCTGTCCCTTATATGAATTTATCTCTCTCAATGTACTAAGCATTAACGCATAAATCAGGCCATCACTAGATATTTCTCTCAATCAGCAGTTATTTTGGTACCTTGCTAGTCAGCCAGACAGGCAATCAGTCAGTCAGCCAGACAGAGTTCAGGTGTTTTCAACTAAGTCTACTCCTTGAGCTGAGTCAATCCAAGTACACTGCTGATCTGCTCGGCCTCAGACGACTGGATCTGCCGTCTGCTGTTTGGAACACTTCGATTTCACTGGCTAACAAGCACCATCGGTTGAGTGGTGTGAGTGAATTACAACTGCCTATCCTAATAAAGAAGTAGTGTGAAGCTGAAAGCACCGCTGCTGAATTAGGTAGTGGTGATCACACACCAAGCAGGCTGTCAGGTGAGACTCGAGTGGAAAGCGATGGATTACATCTTGAGACTCTTCAGCACTCTTCAACACTGACGACTACATCCAAGTTTGGAATCAGCTATCTCAGTGTTTCAGTAGAATTTGACAGTGTCATAAGATTTGGCACAGTGCACGACAGAGTGTTTTAGTAGATTCCAAATACTTTTTGGTAAATGGTGCACTGTCGAAGGCGCTTCCGAAGTCTAGGATTTTTTTTAATTCAGGCAGGTTTCCGACTTGCATTCTATGATTCGTTCAAAATGACGCAAATCTGCTTTCCATGAAACATTCTAGATGATTAGAAAAATCGAATAACAGATATTCAACGAAATGTGTTCAGTGTCTGTGTGTGTGTGTGCAGTTGATAGGAGGTAACAGTGACTTACTCTATGCTGCTCCGCATTCATCTCTCTTGACTTACCTCTTTTATAATAAAGTGAATGTGTAACTGTTATAGGGTGAACATCTTCGGCTCTTTTCCCCATAATATTATATTCTGACTCTTTGCATGGGCCTGAATTGATTCCAAATTTTCCGGACGTTCCATCCACATAAACAGACTGGTCGATCTGTCTTTGAAAATTGATATTTAAATAAAATTGCGTTGCATTGATAACAGAAGGACTAAATGTAATCCAAGAAAAACTTAAATATTCGTCGCTTTCTTGAAGTAGCCAAAATTTGCTTCCATCTGTATTTTGTAAATTAAAATAGACAAAATAATAATGAAAATATTCATGATGATGTGTGAGTATAAATTTGAAGTGAAGTTAGTGAAGTGATGAGAAGAGTGGACATTGCAGGTTTTATGATGAGTTGACATCAGTTGGACAGGCATTGGAAAGCAATAGGGATAACTGCACAGCCAGTTGTTTCATCCGCGTTCTTGTTTCGAAGACTTCAGCACTGCGCACGTGTCACCAGGTTTCGAGTCATCTACATTTCTTGGCGCAAGCCTAGACCATTCAGTCACTGGAATTACATCGAAGGTGTTTAAGACGCCAGCTGCTCGCTGGATACACTGGCATGCCAAAATAGCCCAAACGACGAAGACGAAGCGGCTGGCTGTCCAACACCCATCGCTACCTTCCAGTGATTCTCCAATTAATATCTATTCCCCATCTAACCTGTAACCAACAGAGTCACTGGCATCAAACAATTTAAAAATAAAAACTATGTGAAGAGTGCTTCAAAATCTACAACTGTATGACAACCATCACTGTGTTGGTATGCGATTCCACATAATTTATGTTTGTTGGACACATGCACACACACACACTAACACATACAGTGAGGCAGTATTACTTACTGAATGACAGAGTTTACAACACACTCTGTTACTGGATATGATCATGTAAATTAGGACTACACAGATTCGTTTATTTCATTCTCTAGTTCGCTTCGATCCTTTGGAAATCTCACATGGAGTCCTCAACAAGGCAGTAATTAAAGTGTCACTGCACAAACCCAACCTCCCACGGTCACATACCAATAGGCTCACCTAGAAACAAATTATGTTGGTCGCAGCGGCATAGAAGGGTCACACTAAACAGAGAGTAATTCAGTTCACCTGGTGGCTAGAATGATTTCCAGGTCAAATTTGTAGGTCGAATTAGTGGAACGAGGTCGACCAGACTAGCGGAGCACGAAAGCTTGACAAAATCTAGATTGGTTGATGCTGATAAGAAGGGTAATCAAGAGAATAGCTCAGCTATGACAAACACCACATTCAATTTTACACAGTTATACAGTGCAGGACGGCATAAGATAACAGTCAAAAAATCCAAAATAGCAGGGTTATGAGCGACATTCATAGCTGCAGCTTTATTTGTCGAATCAACTGGAAATGCGTGCAACAGAAATGAATGATTCAACACCAGTTCCACTCGGACATCGGGAAAATCCTACTTATACGAACACACCACTCTGTGGCTAGTCGGATCCTGAAAACCTAATAAAATGGAACTTTCCATAAAATACAACTATTCAACAGAATCATGCGATCAATCAATTAGTTCATTAACTCAATATCTAGAAAACATGCACAAACACATTCAAGTAGATGACAATGAAATCGTGGCATTCACTATTCTCACAGCATCATACGCTTCAACTGGTCGGAAAATGTCAACACTTAAAGCTATGCAGCGATTCCTCCATAGCGATGAATGCACAAAATGGCAATCTTCAAATTCAATGGAACTCGTCGACTTATGTTTTTAACATATTTGCAATTCAACAACGAGATATACGAAGAGATATAGAGAAAATCAATGGGATCGCACACATCAGGACTAATAGACGAGGTCGTTATGCAAAGACTAGAATTTGATAGCTCAACCCATAATCACAATAAGCATCTCGCCACCTTATTTTGATGACACATTCGTGATAATAGGTACACCCACACATTAATCAACATCACATTGGTAGACGTCGAAATTCACACCCAAGAGAAGGAGAATCAGACAACGAAATCCCTTCGTCCTTCGATGTCTTAATCTAGAGAACAAATACCGAAAATTCGGAAACACACATATGCAGAATAACAACACACCCACACAAAGACGCACACACTCACGCATGCACGCGAGCACACAAAGAACAAATTAGGAAATACAGTAGTGATGATCCAACGACTCACAAGATAAGCTGTATGCAGTCCTTGTTTGTAAGAGTTAGAACATACTGCAGCACTCCGGTGCTGACAGAACAAAAGAGACTGTCTTCAAGGATAATGAATACTCGTGCTACTTCCTCGAGACATGTCTAGACTCAAATCAAAATTCCAACAAGAAACCATCCTCAACCATCACAAGGAAATTCATACCAATTCAGATTAAAATTTCTCTGAAATTGCGGCTAGATTACTGGAACCATTTGAAATAGATGGAACACACAATGGAAGTCAATCCTATTCATGCAGTACTGTGCAGATGAAAAGACCAGCACAACAGTAGAAGAAGACAACACCGCCAACAACACACCATCCAAAAGGGGATTATACAAACTGTGATAAACACGATATTGACCGAAGTGGGCATCCTTCTCGACGCACAACCCAAGAACAAAACTTGCCTGTCAAGAGACAGGATATGCAATCTTTCATATCGGTGCATGTCGACAATTATGTTAACCAGTTGAACTCTGAATATCCAGAACCCTTAGAGAGTGGAAACACTGAAGAAATGTCATGGAATGTACACAGGTAGTGTGTTGAGACAAATCTGCAATTGAAAGACACGTGATTACTGCAAATCAAATTTATCAATCAATAAAGACGAAGGAAACAAATTTACGAAAACAATGAGTACGGAGGCGAATCAACAATCAATCACGACCTAAGTCACCTTGAGAAACAGTTATATTATCATTCATGGAGAATTGAAATAAGTTCACATTTCATAGAATGGCTTTCACTGAGGCGATGTTGTTGTCTAGAAGACACACAACGAAAGCTTTGCAGTTAAATCAACAAACCGACTCAAGGAATACAACCAAATCAGAGAGGCTGGCAGTGTAGTTTCACTGAGTCAGGATTAATAAATCACACCAACAATAATGCATTGTCTGTCGACATCGATTTGCTTTGAGAAACTTGTATAGTCCATAGGAATCCGCTACTCGGTGTACAGTGGGAATGCGAAGCTGTACTATCACACCTATATACGGACTCTTTTCAAAAAACGAAGAGGACAGTAGAAATACGTAATAGGTTAACATAATCATAGATGTCAACCAGTGTATAAGAGGAATTGAATCAGTGTATTGGAGTAATGTAATAACATGAACAATTTAATGAGTGACTTTGAATCAGGCGGCATATAGAAACGAAGAAAATCATGTGAGAATCCTAAAGAAATACAAGTGTTGTAAGGAGTCAAGGAAAGAAAATAGCCACTATCAAGTTGGTGGAGGACAGAAACAAAGTTGTTACCATGACAATGGAAGTAGTTGAATAAATTTCTTTTCTATGCAAAGACATGGTTTCTCTAATTGAAGGGCTGAAGCATGGCCAGTGAGACAGGGACGAGAAAGTACTGTCTTTGGCAGGTTATTCTTCACTTGGTAGGTAGATTACTCTGAAGGAGACGGTTGTTTAGACGGAATGACAAATGTTGACAAGGTGTTCTATTATCTCACTCGTTACAGAGTCACTGCTATTTCCATGAAATAATGCCATGGGAGAGTCTCCTTTGACATTTCCACCTTAGACGAGATAAGCGTGAAATGACCAATTTACCTGTCTCCACAGCAACAACCGAAATCATTTATACACACGGAAGTGTTCAGATGTGAGATTTCCTCTTTCAGGCTTCTACACGCGTTGCTCAGATGACTCTTGGCAGAAATGATGAAATTCTCCTCCGAAGGATATCTCACGTTGTCTCCTTTGAAATTAAGGTTCAAGAAGATTATGGTTCGTCTTTGACATTGTTCTGATATTCTTGTCAATCGATATTGGTGAGTGTCCATTTTGGATGGAGACATCTTTCAGAAGATCTAGTTGTGCTTATCGCGCATCACGACTACAGATGCTTTGAATTCCAGTGGCGAGGGATTGAACTCGATTTCTTATTCGTTCAACAGGCAACCAACTATAGAATCTCGCCATTTAGAACAGATTCAGACTTTTGACAACACCTGCTTTCATTGGCTTCATCGTGAAGATCAGATGACCTGCTGAGGAGGATTAGCCATGGTCTAACGCGTACAGGCCGTAAGTCAACTAACAACCTATTACCTGAGAAATATGCTGAAGAAAATGTAGATAGATTGGCCACACTCTGAGGGAAAGTTCATCTACAGTTGCGCTTCACTTTGATGGTGACTTAATACGACCGCAGATAACAGGATGGAACAGGATGAGGTGTGCCATAAAAACCCTATGTTCCACTCGGAAACTAAGAGAATGATAACAATAAAATTATCAATAATAATAATGATCCCCCATTAACAGTCAGTAGGACAAAGTTAGGACAAAAGTCGAATTGTGAGAAACGAAGAGAGAGTTTCGCAGAGTTTGCAGTAATTTACCCAGATGCCGGTTGACTTTTGTGAAAACATTCAGTGAACAGTCGGTACTAACACGAATGTGGGACAAATGAACTGCAGGATTGAACGAGTGTCTCACCCTTGCAGCCCGACCAAATCAGTATGAGTGTTTGAAGATTCCCTAAGGCAACCAACGTCACCAGGAGAGACAACTAATAAACTCGTGGAGAACTGTAAATGCTCATTTCACAAACTGATCTGTGCAATGATGGTGCTGCTGCCTAGCAGGGCGACGAAGGCTTCAGAAGCAAACCATCCAGCTCTGAGAACAGAACTACATCAAAACAAATGAATTTTATAGAAATATTATCATTTCAGGATAAAATATGAGTGGCTTAGCTACAGAATTCTCGCTATCCACGCAAGTGGTCTGCGTTCAGAACCGCATCTGACGGACTACAAAAACTCGCTACGTCAGCTGTACGGCTCGTAGAGAGAGAAGGTAAGACGTGAGACTAGCAAATCAATTTGGTCAAAATGAAACCACTGCAACGAACACTTCAAAAGATCAAACCTGATGCCCAACATTACGCGCGGAATGTGAAGAAATAAACCTACCATCAAAACATTTTAAAGGCTCCTGTTTCATAATTTCCGAATGCTTCTAACGAATCTCGCTATTGTACTTATATGCGTTTGAGTGACCTGATGGCTATTTGGTGGTCACTATCAAAACTAATAGATGGTATTCTTTCACTTGATATCACAGATTTGTCTCAATACTGGAAAAAAACCTTTCATTGAATTAATTATTCTGCTATTCAGTATCTTCACGAGTCAATTGTGTTGACTTTACACCATCGGAGACAAACAGAATAAGACGCTCGTCTGATGGATGATGGTCAGCAGCGGAATCTGAATTGTGCATGCATGAATCACAGGGATCAGTTGTTGCACATCAAAACGCGAAATGAAAAATTTAACTTCAATAAAAGCATTTAACCAAAATGAATATTTGGAAAAAGCAAAACAATAAAATATTCATATACCACGAACAACTTACAGCTATCATTATTTTTAACTAAATATGCCAGTTCATATTCTTCAGAGATTCGTTGTGGCAAGACTGTTACTACAAAGATTAAGAATGGCAATTAGGACAGATGCATTGCGAGTGCGTGCAGATATCCATCACAAAGCGTTTCGCTTATAGTAAGATTTGTCCTTATACATCTCTTATAATTCGTGTTTTCTGTTTTACCCGTTCCGTATGTGGAATTCGATCTGCTGTACATTTGACCCTCGATTGTATACCCATATCTCTTCGAATCTTTGTTCCTCTAGACGAGTGTTTCTAAGAAATTCGCCTTCGCTTACAGGATCTCATCGTCTCAACTGACTTCGGTCTGAGTACCACTGAAAGGCGACAGGGAGTACCGAACATCAGTTTGTTGCATCCTTGTTGTTTATGACTGATCTGCAGTATGCCCTAACCACCAATAATCGAATCGGAGGCCAATCGGTTACGAGACGGTCTTGTAGACCATCAGGACACTGCGTCGCCTTCCAGCGGCCCATGAATTCCAACTCGACGATGAAATCCTGTAACCGATCAAATCCCTGCAAACCAACAATTCACATTTTCATTTCCTTTCATCGCGTTAGAATTCATATTCAAGTATTGATTATTGATATATGTGTAAATCTTGGGCACTGTGATAGTAAGTAATTCCGTATTAGTTTGTTTATTGGATGTATCATACAGTGAAACAGTATTATTTACTGGATGACGTTACGATTACACTGCTGTCTTCAATGACTCCTATAATTACTGTGAATATTTTAGATAATACTCTCTCTCTCTATATATATATATATATATATGATTATTACGTGTAGGTAGCTTACCCAACTTTGGTAGGGAGAATCTGTTTCCATGTGAGATAGTGAAGATCAATCGATTTTCGGCTTGATTTCTCAGAGAATACTTCTTCTCATCACCCTGTACGATGATCATTTCAAGTGGTTGATCGTCTTGTCCACTGAAGATAACTGTGACGTCATCTGCACTACAGAAGGCAGATTCTTGTTCCCATGTTACATTTTGAAGATTTCTAGACGGTAGCTGGACGAAATGGATCCTCGGAACTCGTGAAACAATTGAAGAACAATGAAACTGAGGTTTTTGTTTTTTGGCTAATAAATTCTTACATAATATGATGACATGACAGTTGGCAAAAGAAGTAACAATGTGAATTCAGGGGTCTCCTTATTGCTTTTTCAATCTGTCCCTTATATGAATTTATCTCTCTCAATGTACTAAGCATTAACGCATAAATCAGGCCATCACTAGATATTTCTCTCAATCAGCAGTTATTTTGGTACCTTGCTAGTCAGCCAGACAGGCAATCAGTCAGTCAGCCAGACAGAGTTCAGGTGTTTTCAACTAAGTCTACTCCTTGAGCTGAGTCAATCCAAGTACACTGCTGATCTGCTCGGCCTCAGACGACTGGATCTGCCGTCTGCTGTTTGGAACACTTCGATTTCACTGGCTAACAAGCACCATCGGTTGAGTGGTGTGAGTGAATTACAACTGCCTATCCTAATAAAGAAGTAGTGTGAAGCTGAAAGCACCGCTGCTGAATTAGGTAGTGGTGATCACACACCAAGCAGGCTGTCAGGTGAGACTCGAGTGGAAAGCGATGGATTACATCTTGAGACTCTTCAGCACTCTTCAACACTGACGACTACATCCAAGTTTGGAATCAGCTATCTCAGTGTTTCAGTAGAATTTGACAGTGTCATAAGATTTGGCACAGTGCACGACAGAGTGTTTTAGTAGATTCCAAATACTTTTTGGTAAATGGTGCACTGTCGAAGGCGCTTCCGAAGTCTAGGATTTTTTTTAATTCAGGCAGGTTTCCGACTTGCATTCTATGATTCGTTCAAAATGACGCAAATCTGCTTTCCATGAAACATTCTAGATGATTAGAAAAATCGAATAACAGATATTCAACGAAATGTGTTCAGTGTCTGTGTGTGTGTGTGCAGTTGATAGGAGGTAACAGTGACTTACTCTATGCTGCTCCGCATTCATCTCTCTTGACTTACCTCTTTTATAATAAAGTGAATGTGTAACTGTTATAGGGTGAACATCTTCGGCTCTTTTCCCCATAATATTATATTCTGACTCTTTGCATGGGCCTGAATTGATTCCAAATTTTCCGGACGTTCCATCCACATAAACAGACTGGTCGATCTGTCTTTGAAAATTGATATTTAAATAAAATTGCGTTGCATTGATAACAGAAGGACTAAATGTAATCCAAGAAAAACTTAAATATTCGTCGCTTTCTTGAAGTAGCCAAAATTTGCTTCCATCTGTATTTTGTAAATTAAAATAGACAAAATAATAATGAAAATATTCATGATGATGTGTGAGTATAAATTTGAAGTGAAGTTAGTGAAGTGATGAGAAGAGTGGACATTGCAGGTTTTATGATGAGTTGACATCAGTTGGACAGGCATTGGAAAGCAATAGGGATAACTGCACAGCCAGTTGTTTCATCCGCGTTCTTGTTTCGAAGACTTCAGCACTGCGCACGTGTCACCAGGTTTCGAGTCATCTACATTTCTTGGCGCAAGCCTAGACCATTCAGTCACTGGAATTACATCGAAGGTGTTTAAGACGCCAGCTGCTCGCTGGATACACTGGCATGCCAAAATAGCCCAAACGACGAAGACGAAGCGGCTGGCTGTCCAACACCCATCGCTACCTTCCAGTGATTCTCCAATTAATATCTATTCCCCATCTAACCTGTAACCAACAGAGTCACTGGCATCAAACAATTTAAAAATAAAAACTATGTGAAGAGTGCTTCAAAATCTACAACTGTATGACAACCATCACTGTGTTGGTATGCGATTCCACATAATTTATGTTTGTTGGACACATGCACACACACACACTAACACATACAGTGAGGCAGTATTACTTACTGAATGACAGAGTTTACAACACACTCTGTTACTGGATATGATCATGTAAATTAGGACTACACAGATTCGTTTATTTCATTCTCTAGTTCGCTTCGATCCTTTGGAAATCTCACATGGAGTCCTCAACAAGGCAGTAATTAAAGTGTCACTGCACAAACCCAACCTCCCACGGTCACATACCAATAGGCTCACCTAGAAACAAATTATGTTGGTCGCAGCGGCATAGAAGGGTCACACTAAACAGAGAGTAATTCAGTTCACCTGGTGGCTAGAATGATTTCCAGGTCAAATTTGTAGGTCGAATTAGTGGAACGAGGTCGACCAGACTAGCGGAGCACGAAAGCTTGACAAAATCTAGATTGGTTGATGCTGATAAGAAGGGTAATCAAGAGAATAGCTCAGCTATGACAAACACCACATTCAATTTTACACAGTTATACAGTGCAGGACGGCATAAGATAACAGTCAAAAAATCCAAAATAGCAGGGTTATGAGCGACATTCATAGCTGCAGCTTTATTTGTCGAATCAACTGGAAATGCGTGCAACAGAAATGAATGATTCAACACCAGTTCCACTCGGACATCGGGAAAATCCTACTTATACGAACACACCACTCTGTGGCTAGTCGGATCCTGAAAACCTAATAAAATGGAACTTTCCATAAAATACAACTATTCAACAGAATCATGCGATCAATCAATTAGTTCATTAACTCAATATCTAGAAAACATGCACAAACACATTCAAGTAGATGACAATGAAATCGTGGCATTCACTATTCTCACAGCATCATACGCTTCAACTGGTCGGAAAATGTCAACACTTAAAGCTATGCAGCGATTCCTCCATAGCGATGAATGCACAAAATGGCAATCTTCAAATTCAATGGAACTCGTCGACTTATGTTTTTAACATATTTGCAATTCAACAACGAGATATACGAAGAGATATAGAGAAAATCAATGGGATCGCACACATCAGGACTAATAGACGAGGTCGTTATGCAAAGACTAGAATTTGATAGCTCAACCCATAATCACAATAAGCATCTCGCCACCTTATTTTGATGACACATTCGTGATAATAGGTACACCCACACATTAATCAACATCACATTGGTAGACGTCGAAATTCACACCCAAGAGAAGGAGAATCAGACAACGAAATCCCTTCGTCCTTCGATGTCTTAATCTAGAGAACAAATACCGAAAATTCGGAAACACACATATGCAGAATAACAACACACCCACACAAAGACGCACACACTCACGCATGCACGCGAGCACACAAAGAACAAATTAGGAAATACAGTAGTGATGATCCAACGACTCACAAGATAAGCTGTATGCAGTCCTTGTTTGTAAGAGTTAGAACATACTGCAGCACTCCGGTGCTGACAGAACAAAAGAGACTGTCTTCAAGGATAATGAATACTCGTGCTACTTCCTCGAGACATGTCTAGACTCAAATCAAAATTCCAACAAGAAACCATCCTCAACCATCACAAGGAAATTCATACCAATTCAGATTAAAATTTCTCTGAAATTGCGGCTAGATTACTGGAACCATTTGAAATAGATGGAACACACAATGGAAGTCAATCCTATTCATGCAGTACTGTGCAGATGAAAAGACCAGCACAACAGTAGAAGAAGACAACACCGCCAACAACACACCATCCAAAAGGGGATTATACAAACTGTGATAAACACGATATTGACCGAAGTGGGCATCCTTCTCGACGCACAACCCAAGAACAAAACTTGCCTGTCAAGAGACAGGATATGCAATCTTTCATATCGGTGCATGTCGACAATTATGTTAACCAGTTGAACTCTGAATATCCAGAACCCTTAGAGAGTGGAAACACTGAAGAAATGTCATGGAATGTACACAGGTAGTGTGTTGAGACAAATCTGCAATTGAAAGACACGTGATTACTGCAAATCAAATTTATCAATCAATAAAGACGAAGGAAACAAATTTACGAAAACAATGAGTACGGAGGCGAATCAACAATCAATCACGACCTAAGTCACCTTGAGAAACAGTTATATTATCATTCATGGAGAATTGAAATAAGTTCACATTTCATAGAATGGCTTTCACTGAGGCGATGTTGTTGTCTAGAAGACACACAACGAAAGCTTTGCAGTTAAATCAACAAACCGACTCAAGGAATACAACCAAATCAGAGAGGCTGGCAGTGTAGTTTCACTGAGTCAGGATTAATAAATCACACCAACAATAATGCATTGTCTGTCGACATCGATTTGCTTTGAGAAACTTGTATAGTCCATAGGAATCCGCTACTCGGTGTACAGTGGGAATGCGAAGCTGTACTATCACACCTATATACGGACTCTTTTCAAAAAACGAAGAGGACAGTAGAAATACGTAATAGGTTAACATAATCATAGATGTCAACCAGTGTATAAGAGGAATTGAATCAGTGTATTGGAGTAATGTAATAACATGAACAATTTAATGAGTGACTTTGAATCAGGCGGCATATAGAAACGAAGAAAATCATGTGAGAATCCTAAAGAAATACAAGTGTTGTAAGGAGTCAAGGAAAGAAAATAGCCACTATCAAGTTGGTGGAGGACAGAAACAAAGTTGTTACCATGACAATGGAAGTAGTTGAATAAATTTCTTTTCTATGCAAAGACATGGTTTCTCTAATTGAAGGGCTGAAGCATGGCCAGTGAGACAGGGACGAGAAAGTACTGTCTTTGGCAGGTTATTCTTCACTTGGTAGGTAGATTACTCTGAAGGAGACGGTTGTTTAGACGGAATGACAAATGTTGACAAGGTGTTCTATTATCTCACTCGTTACAGAGTCACTGCTATTTCCATGAAATAATGCCATGGGAGAGTCTCCTTTGACATTTCCACCTTAGACGAGATAAGCGTGAAATGACCAATTTACCTGTCTCCACAGCAACAACCGAAATCATTTATACACACGGAAGTGTTCAGATGTGAGATTTCCTCTTTCAGGCTTCTACACGCGTTGCTCAGATGACTCTTGGCAGAAATGATGAAATTCTCCTCCGAAGGATATCTCACGTTGTCTCCTTTGAAATTAAGGTTCAAGAAGATTATGGTTCGTCTTTGACATTGTTCTGATATTCTTGTCAATCGATATTGGTGAGTGTCCATTTTGGATGGAGACATCTTTCAGAAGATCTAGTTGTGCTTATCGCGCATCACGACTACAGATGCTTTGAATTCCAGTGGCGAGGGATTGAACTCGATTTCTTATTCGTTCAACAGGCAACCAACTATAGAATCTCGCCATTTAGAACAGATTCAGACTTTTGACAACACCTGCTTTCATTGGCTTCATCGTGAAGATCAGATGACCTGCTAAGGAGGATTAGCCATGGTCTAACGCGTACAGGCCGTAAGTCAACTAACAACCTATTACCTGACAAATATGCTGAAGAAAATGAAGATAGATCAGCCACACTCTGAGGGAAAGTTCATCTACAGTTGCGCTTCACTTTGATGGTGACTTAATACGACCGCAGATAACAGGATGGAACAGGATGAGGTGTGCCATAAAAACCCTATGTTCCACTCGGAAACTAAGAGAATGATAACAATAAAATTATCAATAATAATAATGATCCCCCATTAACAGTCAGTAGGACAAAGTGAGGACAAAAGTCGAATTGTGAGAAACGAAGAGAGAGTTTCGCAGAGTTTGCAGTAATTTACCCAGATGCCGGTTGACTTTTGTGAAAACATTCAGTGAACAGTCGGTACTAACACGAATGTGGGACAAATGAACTGCAGGATTGAACGAGTGTCTCACCCTTAAGGTCCGACCGAATTAGTATGAGGGTTTGAAGATTCACTAAGGCAACCAACGTCACCAGGAGAGACAACTAATAAACTCGTGGAGAACTGTAAATGCTCATTTCACAAACTGATGTGTGCAATGATGGTGTTGCCTAGTAGGGCGACATAAGCTTCACAAGTAAGCCATCCAGCTCTGGGATCACAACTACACCAAAACAAATGAATTTTATAGAAATAATATCATTTCAGGAAAGCGGCATCAGTGGCTTATCTCAAGAATTCTCGCCATCCACGCAAGTGGTCTGGGTTCACGTCCGCATCTGACGGACTACAAACACTCGTTAAAACAGCTGTATGGCCCGTAGATAGAGAAGGTTACACGTGAGGCTAGCAAGTCAATTTGGTCAAAATGAAACCACTGCAACGAACACTTCAAAAGATCAAACCTGATGCCCAACATTACGCACGGAATGTGAAGAAATAAACCTACCATAAAAACATTTCGAGGACTCCTGTTTCATAATTTCTGAATGCTTCCTAACGAATCTCACTATTGTACTTATATGCATTCGAGGGACCTGATGGCCATTTGGGGGTCACTATCAAAACTAATAGATGGTATTCTTTCACTTGATATCACAGATTTATCTCAATACTGGAAAGAAAACATTTCATTGAATGAATTATTCTGCAATTCAGTATCCTCACAAGTCAATTGTGTTGACTTTATACCATCGGAGATAAACAGAATGAGACGCTTACCTTATGGATGATGGTCAGCAGTGGAATCTGAATTGCGCTTGCATGAATCTTAGGGACTAGGTGTTGCATATCAAAGAGCGAAATTAAAAAAAATTCACTTCAATAAAAGCATTCAACGAATAAGATTGTTTGGTAAAAGCAAAACAGTAAAAGATTCAGATACCAAGAACAACTTACTCTCATCTTTATTTTTAGCTAAATAAGCCAGTTCATTTTTTCCAGAAATTCGTTGTGGCAAGACTGTTACTACAATGATTAAAAGAAACAATTAGGCAGATACAATTTTTTTGCGTACATGGCACTCTTCAGGATACTGTTATAACGGCGGCGTTCTTTACATGAATTCAACCATCTGACTCAATTAATCAGACTCAAACTCTGTCAGCCCATAGACACTACAGAGTCAATAATGGATCTCCAAAATAATGAAGTGAAGACAACTAAGTTCAATTACACATGTTGAACTAGTTCCTGGGAATTAGTCACATTATCAGAAAATATGAGTTTAGGGTTACAGTAAGAATGATTGAACGCACTGAGTCAAATAATCTGAATAAATCTGGTTTAGTTTGGGCTATCAATATGATTCACCTCTAGCATATCAGGAGACGTCCATCGGCATAAAAACATCAAATAACAAGGAGATAACTTTGACATCAGAGAAAAAAATGATTCAGCGTTGTGGAGATACATGGATGACGTGAGAGGATCACAAGGAAATATAATATGAAGGCCAGAAATAGCACAACATGGAAGACTTGTGCAAGTGGTGGTTTGAAGATAAGGTGTACATAATTCCTTTGCATAGCGATAACAAATTCCTAATAAACATGACTTCACCAAGTCTCTTGTCTTCTACACTGGAATACAATCGCTCACATCTTATCACACAGTGGGGTTGGTTGGTAGGATAAGATAAATGTGTTAGTAAATAATATTAGTGAGTGTAGGGAAAGTGAGACACACAGACACGTTATTCTCTGGATCTTTCTTCATCGATTCAACACGAAAACAAAGTGCAGTAGAAATGATTCAACACCTGTTCCGGACAAATGGTAAATTGTAGTAAGAAGTAGCAGTAGGTAAGTCTACATAAACAGATTATCGAATTGTGTGAATACACTGAGATTTGATTGGAAGCAACAGTAATCTGTCCTCGAGGCGCCTTCGTTCAGTTATCAGTCTTGTGTAAAATAAAGTTATCCGATTTTGAATTGCATTCACTCACAACGCGTCAACTCTACTTTCACATTAACAGCTAATATTTGTATGGAAGAAGAAGGTGATTGAGCACTTGATGACAACAGATAATAAGACAGAATAAACATGAGTATAGCTCAACAGGAATCGCCTATTTGAAACAATGAGTTTTTAGTCTCATTTCATTCTATTCATGGAGAACCAAACTAAGCTTCAAATGCTACACCGCTGACGACAACAACAGTGCGATGAGTGAGACATTCTACTCCTCGTAGTGTACATGGATAGCCTTCACTGAACATGCATTTTAGATTGACTCATGAAACACGTCACCTGTATGCTCACTTTGTGACAGCACTTTACCTTCCAACAATCTGTCTGATCACCCCAACGTATTACACTCAAATTTGTGAGTTCTCAGCAAGTTGGCCGATTGTCAAGCTGAGTTTAATTTTGATAACCCGAAAAAGAATATAAGAACAACATCTCATACTGATGACTATTTGTAATGTTAATTACAGCCCAGAACGTCATTTTTCCTTGTAAGTGTATATTATACTATCAGTGACATTTGCCTCAGACATACTTATCGCTCAGTTTTGTTGAGAAAAGCAAACAGTGCAGATTGTTCTCATGAAGAAAAATCGTACAATTTCCTCGTTGTCTTATAGACTTCCCAACTAACTAACTAACTAGATTTGACAATGGAACACTCAGTGAAGAGAATTTAGTGAAGGTAGGAGTGACATGAGTCTGTTCACTGTCACTGATGATATTCTCAACTGTGGCGGACTTTATTATGACGACGAATTCGGAGAAGTGAGAAGACATGTATAAGTTGAACCGATAAGGGGACTATAGGAGATTTGGACTCAATGACAGATTTATATCTACATTTATGCAAAATTCGAAGCTGTAGATGAAAATTAACAAGTTTGCAGAAGAGTCAGGCAGAGAAGACAAGACTTCGAATGGAATTAGCGAAGATGGAGGTGATGAAGGTAACCAACCGACATCAAAAACAACAACTACCTATGGAATAAGTTTTTGAAATTGGGCAATCGCTACACTGAATTGAGTAGAATCGCTTCAACTACAGATGGAACGGATGAAGATGTATAACAAAGCCAAGCTGGATTGGACAGACAAGACAAGGGTTCATCATCACTCTGAAATCAGTTGGAGAATCCGGTACACTCAGCATAGGAAAAGCAAAATTTGGATTTTCAAAACCAATGTCATATGAGTCATTTTATGTGTGTGAGAGACATGATGTGTCTCCAACAGCATTTCACTGGCTGCATACTGAAGGTTGGATGGATGATCAGAAATAATCGGCAACAAGGAACTTCAGGGACAAGCCAACTAAGAGCCTATTGCTCAACAAATATGACTAAGGAAACTCAGGTTGATCGGACACACACTGGGGAGGCTGTTGAATGACACCATGCGTCAAACCGTTGAGAGGAACTAGAAAGATAAACAAACAGTTGGGAGTACCATGGAGAATATAGTATGAGGAAGAGATTAAAGTTAACAGGCATTCGTACAGCAAGCTAAAGAAAACTACAGTGAACAGGACAGAAGTGGAGATGTTTCAGCACCTTCTTCGACTCAGAACCTTAAGGTATAAAATGATGATAATAATATTAATAATAATAATATAACCAGCTAGCTAGTGACCACTGAACTCAAATAATAAAAAATGATTTTGAACTTACTCTGTAAGAATATCAACAGTACGATTCTGTCAAAACCAAACGTCAACATGGTTGATACACCACACACTGTTGAATTGTTTAAGAATTGCAGGTATATACGTATTCATTCTTTGCTAATATTACATCGTCCAATCACTCAATAACTTAAGATGATCATTAACAAAGTCACTGAGTTAACCAGTAAGTCTACCGAAACAAAACAAATCCATACACACATTCCATGATTGGCCTATAAAATACACACAAACAACGACGCTCTACTTGTGTGTCTGTGTCTGTGTCTGTGTTTGTGTGTCTGTGTGTGTATGTTATATCACACTGAAACTGTGTGTGTCAGTTAAGCTGTACTCTCTTCTCTTCTTCTTCTTCTTCTTCTTCTTCTTCGCTTTCCTCTATCGCTTTAAGGATCCTTTGTGTGTGGATGTAAAATCGATAACACGAAGTATGACTCTGTACCAGATTATTGACTGCTTCAAAGACACAAATTCACAGACAGAAAATCTATTGTTTAGAGTAATTCTCTGCTTTTCGGTATGAACGACGTCAATCAGTCAGCAGGTTGTGAGCATTTGGTATTCTTGAAAATGTTTATCGAACGTTGTCTGTGGTCACAAAAACTATTATAGTTTCATTATCATTATCATTATTATTATTATTATTATTAATGTCTGTATTACTGTGAAGTTTGAGTGAGATTGGAGTGATCAGTCAAAGGAAGCTAGTGGAACTAGGTGAACATATCGTGACCATATTCACAAAGAAGAAGCATTGAGGAAAGTATGACAATAATATACAGCATGACTCAATTGAAAAGAAGATACATCTGAGAATAACTCCCAGATTTTCATGGTACCACTCGGTTTCAACACGAGTTGGTAGAATATTCGAGTTACTGGAATCCGATTCGATGGCCCATGAAAGACCTGTGTCGGAATTCCTGTTGATGCCTAATGATGGACAGTCTCAAAACCCCAAGAAACGGCTCTTCAGTGGTTCTCGAATTATTGCCACCTCGTGATCGGATCTGTAACTAACTAAATCCCTGCTGTTCAAACGACACTGGAAAATTATCTGATGCTCACCAACTACTGGTCAAAATGTCAGGCGACAAATCAACTACTCGCTGATGAAACTGGCTGGTGGTTGTGCAATATACATCGTGAATTGGCAGAAGCTGGAATTCATCGGCTTGCCATTTAGAACAGTCTCTAGTGACTGAAAAGTATACCAGCTCTCCTCGTAACCAGATGACCCACAATGGATACCCCGTCGATGCATCAGTTGAAATG